ACAAATTCTATCAACTATTGCAAAAAGAATTTTCACTTTTGTTGACAATTTCTATGCAAAACAAAGTCAAACGAATATGGTAATTTTTTCTAATTATTAAAAAAAAAAATTTTTTACTTTTTGGTAATTGGAACAAATTCTAGACACGATGGTAGAAAAAATTATCACTTTAATGGACAATTTCCATAAAAAGTGAAGGGACACCAAACTTTCAACATTTTTCAGGTGGAAAATTATACCAATCAAACACAATTAATTACAATTCCCAGTAAAACAATTTCTAGGCAATTCAATTTCCAGTAAAACATTTTATTTCCACCTTTGTAATCAAACGGACCCTTAGTGAATTCTAATAAAGTTTATAGTCTGTATTTAGTTCAATATGTGACCTTTTTTATTTAGTTCTCAGCCTATTGCAATATGATCGTATATTAACTAATTCACATTGTTACTTTTAAACTATGATGTGTATCGTGCAGTCGATCCCAAAAGCCTTTTTAGATGAATATGGACATCAAATGGCGATATGGCTCAATTGATCGATTATTGTGGCATTATTTGGGATTCCAGTCGGAAAGGAAAAATTACAGAGTATACTTTTTTGAAGGGTGGAAATATTTATTTGACCATCGTAGTCCCGAGAATGAATTTTTCCTTGTGTTCGAGTACAATAAGAATTCAAGATTTGAGGTTATGATATTCGATAGATTGGCTATAGAAGTGACGCATGAAGATCTTAGTGATTGGGTACATGGAAATTTCCTCTTTCGAATATCCTTCATTTCGGTTGAAGCTAGAGGTAGGCTTCATGGTCACAAAAAGATTGTAAGTTCTTTTTTCATTTTTCCCTGTTGTATGTTGCATTGACTTGGCTTATTATTACAGTTAACGTGCGTGAGCTTTCCGTCCATGTACCAAAAAATTTCTTCCATCTCTATCATTATGTGGTATATACCTAGTAAATTTGCCAGAGTTTATGTGAAGCGCTCGGATCTATGAGGCTTTGGGCACCGTATGGAACATTCCGCCATTAAACGAGCTAGTGTTGTGGTGTAGCGTGGCGTGGAGTTTCACGGTTGGATGGAGTAAATATGCACGGGCCAAAATTATCAACATTGTTATAAATGGTAAGTCTATTAGTGAACGACAATTGTACATCTGCAACCCTAGAAATTATTACAATTTTATCAATATATAAATATGGGGCATTGGTTCTCAACGCAAATCGCTTTTATAACACGTTATCAACACGATTCTCCCAAAATCAAAACGAATTCATTAAAAGCCTTGAAGAAGCGACAGAGAGCGCCATCTGCTTAAAACCAGTTTATCAAGGACGAGATCCAATGTATCAAAGCTGGCAACCCAGATGTAAGCCATAGGGAAGCCTTCAGCGCTGCTGCACTTTCCTTATATTCATTTTGGACTAGTGCCTGATCAACCCGCGAAGAAACCTAATGTGTGCCAACAACTATCTCAAAACCCTAGATGTATTTGGTCAATTTTTTACTACACTTCTAGACTTGCATATAGAAAATTTGCTAATTCTTCAATTCTGCACACCGTAGTAATGATATTTAATAAATGATTATTTCATATATGCTTTTTCCAATTCTTCACGTCGTAGGCTCATATATCATTTTTGTGAACACACATAAATATTTAGCGTGTAAATCAATACTATTGTGCTAATTTATTATTATTGTCGTTGAATACTCTTTGGCTTTAACTTATCAATAATTTTTGTATTCTTGTAGAAACTTTAAAGTGACACTATATCTACTTGTTGCTTACGACGAAGCACAACTTTTAAATAATACATGGCTCCTGAAAAAGTTAATGTTTTTAAATAATAAAATATTGATGCTTATGAGGTAAAACAATATTATTAATATTTTAATATTAATTGCTCCAAAAGAGCATGATATTAGAATTTTAATATTTCAGAAGAATATTGATCTATTTCTAAGAAAAATCATGAATTAAATTACTCCATTTCTTTACGCGTCCATTCTTCAGCATACATATTTATATATTGTTGTTCTAGTTAAATTTTACTTCCTCCTAAATAGCATAATTAAATACGATTTAATGTAAATT